TTGTTCTTCAGTTGCTTGAGCTTAAAAAATGCTGAGTGAGTTTGGTACTTTTGATTTTCTGACTCCTGGTCCTTGCACATTTCATTGTAATATTTTACTTTGTCATCCCGTGCTGCCTTTTGGAATCTTCTGTTCAGCTTTTTAGTATCTTGAATTCTTCCTTGTACTTTGGCTTCTCTGCGCTCCAGTGCAATATTCAGAGTTTCTTATGACATCAATTTTGGTCTTTTCTTCCTCCTTTGTCTCTCTAATGACCATTTGCACTCTTCCTGGATGATACCCTTGATATCTTCCCACAACTCATTTGGTCTTCGCTCATTAGTGTTCAAGGCCTCAAACCTGTTCCTGAGATGGTTCTGAAATTCAGATGGGATAGACTCAAAGTCATATTTTGGTTCCCATGGATTCGGTTTAATTTTCCTTAGCTTCACCTTCAACTTGTATCTGAGTAGTTGGTGGTCTGTTCCACAATCAGCTCCTGGCCTAGTTTTCACAGCTGATATTGAGCTTCTTCAGCAGTTCTTTCACAGATGTAATTAATCTGATTCATATGCACACCATCCTATAAAATCCATTTGTATAATCTGCGTTTATGTTTCCTATAAAACCTATTTGCAATGAATAAGGCATCGATTGTGCAAAATTCAGTCATTCTGTCTCCAGCTCCATTTCTGTCACCTAGTCCGTGTTTTCCAACTACTGAATCTTCTTCTTTGTTCCCGACTTTTGCATTCCAGTCACCCATTATTATTAATGCATCTTGATTGCATGTTCGATCAATCTCCAACTGTAAAAGTTTGTTGAAATCTTCTATTTCCTTTTTTTTGGCTCTGGTTTTTGGTGCATATATCTGAATGATAGTGATTTTCATTCACTGGACTTCCCTGGGAAATGAAATATCAAGACCTTATGGTAAAATATTGAATGATGCAGAAAGTATCAAAAGAAGATAAAAGAAATACACAGAGTCATCATATCCAAAAGAAATGTACAAACATTTCTTCCTGTAACATTTCAGGAAGTAGCAAATACTCAAGAACCAGGTTCTGAAGGACAAAGTCCACTCTGCATGGAAGGCACTGACAAAATATATGTTCCTAGGAATTGATGGTGACTTATTAGGTAAAGAAATGTGCTGCCAATCCAAAGAGAGATGATTCCAGTCTACCAGTTGCTCTGTGGAAAAGTTGGGCACTCCTATGTGATTTATAACCTAAGAAAGTCCTTCAGAGGGTCAGGTGTGAGTTGTTCCCGACTCAGCAACAATGAAGAGAGAATGAGAGATGCAAGTGTTTCAGCAAATGAGTTCAGACTTGAAGAAATCCATACTTGTTCTCACTATAAAATAAAATAATTAAAATAAAATAAAATTGAGCGGAATGTGGAAGTTACCAGACAGTAACATTAATTTCACAAGCTCATTGTTGTTGGCTCAGAACCGACTTAATAGCTGACCTTTTAGCTTTCTTTCGGGGGCTGTAAATCAGATGGGAGAATATTGCCCATCTTTTTCCAAAGGAGTCTACGGTAGATTTGAAGTACAAGTAAAATCTTGCTGAAAATTACGTAGAAGTGGCTGAACAGGAAAAATACAGAAATTGAAGCTGGATTTAGTTTGAAAGGGAAGTGAAAAAATTTGAAGCTATATTCAGAAGTTCCAACAGAGTGTGGAAACTACAGAACAATATCATTGATTTCACACACATAAGTAAGATTCTACTGAAGATTATCCAAAACGACTGGAACAGTACATCAACAGAGAACTGCCAGAAGTCCAGGCTCAGTTTAGAAGGGGTCATGGTACTAGGGATATTGTAGCTAATGTTTGTAGCTGAAAGTAAGGAATACCAGAGGAATGTCTATCTATGTTTCATTGATTATGCAAAGCCATTTGTGTGGATCATAACAAACTGTTGCTGACTCTCAGAAGAATGGGAATCCCAGAACACTTGATCGTGTTAATGTGAAATTTATTCTTGGACCAAGAGGCAGTCGTCAGAACAGAGCAAGGAAACCCTGCATGGTTCAAAATTGGGAAGGGCGTACGCCAGGGATGTCTCCTGTCTCCATACCTTTTCAACCTGTACGCGGAACAGATTATCCGGGAGGCTGGGCTCTATGAGGAGAAGTGTGACGTCAGGATTGGTGGAAGATCTGTCAACAATCTGTGTTATGTGGATGACACAACCCTGTTTGCTCAAACAGGAGGACCTGAAGTGCTTGCTGCAGAGGGTCAAGGACTGCAGCCTCCAATACAGATTGAGGCTCAATGTCAAGAAGACAAAGATTCTTGCCACTGGACCAATTGGCAACATCAGGGTGAATGGTGAGGAGATTGAGATTGTTCACAGCTTTATTTTGCTTGGCTCCACAGTCAACACTCTTGGCACCAGCAGCCAGTAAATTAAACGATGTATTGCCATGGGAAATTCTACGGTTAGAAACCTCTCCAAAGTATGGAAGAGCAATGGACAGGTCATGGACTTTGCTGTCACTTGTTATGCATCAAAGAGTTGGACCGTGACCAAGGAATATTGAAGGAAAATTGATGCCTTTGAGCTGTGTACCATGGACTGCTAGGAAAACAAACAGATTCATCCTGGAAAGGGTTAAACCAGGCGGCTCCTTGGAGGCAAGGATTCTGAGCCTCTGTCTAACATATTTTGAACATGTTGTAAGGAGGGATTGGTCCTTGGAGAGGGACATCATGCTTGGTAGGGTGGAGGGACAGCACAGGAGAGGAAGGTGCTCTATGAGGTGAATTGATTCAGTGATTGGGGTAATCGGGATGGGAATGTCAGAGACAGTAAGATTGGCACAGTACAGAGCAAAGTTTTGGGCTTTTGTACATAGGGTCACTATGAGTCGCAAGTGACTCGACGGCACATAACCACAACAACAGCAGATTCAGAAGAGGGAAAGGGATATCGTTGGTAATGTCAGATGGATTGCTACTAAAAACATTATTTGTGCTCATACAAAACTTGTACATATACCAAGAAGCTGTTCTTTGAACAGAATGGGGATAAGGCTTTAAATCAGAAAGTGTCCTAGTTGTATCCTTTCTCCATATGTATTCTATCTGTGTGATGAGAAAATAATTTGGGAAACTGGACTATATGAACAAAATGTGGCATCTGGGCAGAGGAAGATTAACTACCTGTAATTTCCAGATGACACAATCTTGCTTGCAGAAAATGAAGACTTGAAACACTTCCTGAAAAACCTTAAACACTACAGTTTTGTTATCTGGATTACATTTTAACATCCAGAAAACAAAAATACTCAATAGGCAATGTTATGATAGATGAAGAAAAGCTTGAAGTTGCTGATGATTTCATTTTACTTGGGTTCACAATCAACATCCCTGGTAGCAGTAGCCAAGAAATTACTAGATGTGCTACAGTTGGCACTTTGCCATGAAGGAACCCTCCAGTGTTAAAGAGCAAAAGTGTTGATTTAAAGACCACGAGTCAGCTACCTCAAATGAAATGTCAACAATCAATATAAAAGACCAAAGAAGAATTGATGGGTTTGAATGGTTAAGAATTTTATAAAGATTTTAGAAAGTGATTGAGTCAGCTATTTCAATTCTTGAAAGTTCTACATGTAAGTCATTCAGAAAAAATAGAGGCTTTCAGCACAAGAGAAAGATAAACAACCCAATTCAAAAGTGGGCACAGGTTATGAACAGACACTTCACCAAAGAAGACATTCAGATGGCCAACAAACACATGAAGAAATATTCAAAATCCTATGAGATATCATGTCACCCTAGTCAGAAGAGCAAAATTTAACCAAATAGCAAACAACAAATGCTGGCAAGATTGTGGCGAAACTGGAACCCTTATTCAGTGTTGGTGGGCATGTAAAATGGTGCAGCCACTATAGAAGGCTGTATGGCGCTTTCTCAAAAAGTTGCAAATAGAAATACCATTTTACCCAGCAATCCACTAGTTGGAATGTACCCCATAGAAACCATAACTACGACCCAAGCAGATATATGGACATCTATATTTATTGCGGCTTTTTTCACAATAGTGAAGAGCTGGAAACAACCCAAGTGCCCATCAATAAACGAATGGATAGAGAAGCTCTGGTATACTCACACAATGCTATACTATGCTGCATTGAAAAACAAGGAACTCATGAAATAGTATTCAAAATGGATGACCCTGGAGGACATTATGCTGAGTGAAATATCCCAGTCACAAAAGGAGAAATACTGACATAGTGCCACTGTTGTAAAACGGGACTGACATTGGAGTTGGGGGGAGACTGAGAAAAATCAGATAAATTATGTATACTGCATTGAGACAGATGAGAGAGAGAACTGTTTAAAAGGGATATATGATTAAGTATTATGGTCATGACAGGAGTCCAGAACGAAGGCTGCATTAGTTGATTTGACTTGAGGGAAGGGATTGTATAACAATGAAAGAATTTTTTTTCCTTTTCAAAGAGAAGAATGAAGTGGAGGGGAGGGTTGGGTAGGAAGAAAAGTGCAACAGTGAATGAATGGAAATCCAAAATCTTTGTAAATTTTCATTAACATTTAAATTAATAATAACAAATTTACAACAGAAAAAAGAAATAGAGGGTTTAACATTTCTAGATTAGAGATTTCATTTACTCTCGGTGACCTATTGTTTGTTACAAGCAATTTTCTTTATTATAGTAGAATTTTACGGGATAGTCCTCCCAGCCTTAGCCAAAGCACCTGGATGGCCATCCCCTGCAGGACATTGACAATAAGAACAGGGAATGTTCTACATGAAAAATGACCTTTCCTGACCTCTGATTTTCTAAATTTTAAAAATAAGCATGGAAGTACTTCAGAGTTTGCTGTACTTTTCACCTAACACTCCAAATGCAAAATTGTTTTCTAGTCAGTGAGATGAGATAATTTTTGAAATTTTATAGGGATTATGTTTTCCATTGTTCTGTGTGTGTTTGAGGATAAAATGATTCTGCAAAGCAAAGTTGATTAGTGTTCTTACCTAGATCAGAACAGTGGACGACTCTGGAATAGCACTGACATCCAAAGGGACATGTCGGGAACATATCAAATGGGAAGAAGGGGTCAGCTGGTTCTCTTGTTGGAAAGACAGAGTTTGCATTGTCATCATCATCATCATCATCCATATCCTTCAGCATCATATTTTTTAATGTTGTATCTAAAGGGCTGAAAAAAGGTTTGGCAGAGCACACAGCCAGGAGCAGTAGGAGCAGGCATTCCTTCATGTTGTCTTAAGTGTAGAGAGCCAATCTAGGGCTAAATAGATATTAAATTTTAAGTTAATATTGAAATAAAAATAATTCCTCCATTTATACATTACTTAGAGTACAGTGAAATAACTTTCTTATCCATTACTAGACAAAAATAAAGTTTAAAAACATTTTAGAAAACAGTACAATAATATGTATTGGAAACTTACGAATATTCTTGTATTTCATTGAATAATTTTACAGTTTGGAATGTAGTCTCAGAAATTGATTCTAATGTTAAAAAAGTGTTCTTCACAAAATTATTTTTAGTAAAGACAATTTTAAATTTAAGGCAATTCTAATGTATAAACACATCCAATGACTAAATGAAACAGTGTATTCTCTAAAATATTTTGGAGCTTATGTTTTTAGATATATGAAGTATTATTTTTTTATAATTTTAATGAGCATTTACAGAGATTTTGGATTTCCATTCATTCATTGCTGCACTTCTCTCCCTGCCCAGCCCTCTCCCGTGAGGTATTATATTTCATGAAGTAAAAATAAAACTATATTAATTTACAAATTTGTTATTTAAAAGCAGAACCCTCCCCCAAACAAAGAGTCTTACTCTCTGGAGTTTTGAGGGTGTTTTTGCTTTAATTTTAGCAAAAAGAAAAAATTTCTTTTAAAATGACAAAGCCAAGATTCAAAGACATTAGATTGTAAGACCTGACTTTGAATGTAAAGCCTTTGTGGCATTATGGTCTGACAAGATGGTTTGTATTATTTCTATGTTTTTTAATCTACTGATGCTTGCCTTGTGACCTAGAATGTGATCTATTCTAGAGAATGTTCCATGCACTTTGGAGAAGAAGTTATACTGTGCTTTTTTGGGGTGCATTAGTCTATAGATATCTATGAGGTCAAGTTGGTTTATTGTGTGATTTAATTCTTCAGTATCTCTGTTGAGTTTTTTTCTGGTAGTTCTATCTTTTCTTGAGAGGGGTGTATTGAGGTCTCCCAGCACTATAGTAGTGTTGTCTATTTCCTTTTTCAGTTTTGTTAATGTTTGTTTTATGTATTTTGCTGATCTTTTATTTGATGCATAGATTGAATCTAAAGCCTTGAATTGAATGAAAGCTTGTTGTTTCCTTATACTCATCTGAAAGTTGTATTTCTCTTCCACTGCCCTCCTTAACCTCACAGTCATAATTCATAAATTTTTTTATGCTTAATGCCTTTGGATTTTTTTCTTTCTTTCTATTATATTCCATTGTCTAATACCAGACCCAAAGCATCTGAGGTCCATATTATTCTTTCTTATTTTTTTCTTAGGAAATGGTGTTTGTTTTCACTTATATTTTTAAAGGCATACAGAAAACTGGAATGTACAAATTAGACCCTTCTCTCATGGCTTAGTGATAAGAAGATGCACTGCCAACCCAAAGGCTCACAGTTCAGATCCACCAAGTGCTCCACGGGAATTTTTTTGTGCTCTCAAGTTCGAACTGATGTGTGATTTACTGCCCTGAAAACCCACTGGAGGAGGGTCAGCTGTGAGAAGATTCTGACTCAAAGATATTGAAAAACATGCACAAAAATAGGAGTTCTAGTGTCCTAGTCTGTCGGTAGTTATGTCTGTAACACAAGGGCAGCACATTTTCACAGTTCGGATACACCAGCAGTTCCAGGGAGAAAGATAGGCAGTCTCCTTTTATGTGGTCAGCTAGGGAGACTTTATGACTCAGTGGAAGTGAGTTGGATTTGTGAGTGGGTGAAGTCCTGATAATTTAGTATTTAACCTATTGGTCTACTAACCAAAAAGGTAGCAGTTTAAATTCATCAGTGGCTCTGCAGGAAAAAGATTGGCAACCTCCATCAATGAAGATTCACAACCTTAGAACCTCCAGATAGGTTGCTGGAATCGTAGACCATGTAGTGGCAGTAGATCTGGTTTGATTTAGAATCATGGACATAAGCACTCTGCTGGCATAATGCATAGCATATTGTGCTTCTAACTGAAAGGTCAGATGTTCAAATCTGCTGACTGTCACACAGGTTGCAGAAGATCCTGTTAGGATTTACAGCCTCAAAAGCTGACAGAGGATTGCCATGACTCAGTCACTGTGATAGTGTTTGGTTTGGGTTTATAATGCACTGTGGTTAGGTATTTTTTTGCCACAGATACAGGTTTGCTATTGCAAATTTACCAGAGAAAGACATGCAGTCTGCTCTCAGGTAACTTGTTGTTAAGTGCCATCGAGTCGCAGGCAACTCATAGCGAACCTATGAAGGAGAGTCCTCGATGCTTGGGTGCCTTTCATCCTCTCTCCAGCTCAGGTAACTTACTGCCTATGAAAACCCACTGGAGGGTCAGCTATGAGTCAATTCTTACTCAACAGTGTGAAACAACAAATTGATGGTACTTAACAACCACATTATATCTCAAGGGAGCTCTGGTAGCTTTGTGGTAAAGAGTTGCTGTCAGGTCAATGATTCACAGTTTGGAAACACCATCTGCTCCAAAGCAGATGGGCAATTTCCTCTCCTGCCTCTGCTATCTCTCTGGCAGGTCAGCTATGAGTAGGTTCTTCCTTGATGGTATACAACAACAGATATATAACATGATTTCTAAATTATCACCTGTAAAAGTTAATATATTCTTAAGAATTGTAGAAAATGTCAAGAATCATGAGATCATCCAAAGCATATTTGTCCAGGTCTTCCCTCTGGGTTATGCAGTTTGTTTATACACAGGTGTGGAATCTGCACCATCACTGTCACAAAAACATACATTCATGCCCCCTAAACCACTCCTACTCAAAATTCCACTTGTCTGCCATGTTGTAAGGAGAGGGTTGTGACTTAGTTTATTAAACACTTACTAAATCAGTTCAGAGTTGAGAATACTATAGGAAGGCTTAACCACTCTCCCTCTCCAAAAGCAGAATCACCTTCATCTCAGATGGCTACAATTACCCAGGATCCAGAAAACATCTCCATGGGCTTGACCTTTTCTTGGATTTAGGAGTAAGACACAAATTAATTTCGTTAATAGAAATATTCACTTGTATCTAGGCTATCTCGTTTAAATACCAAAAACAATCAGGAAATCTTTCTGTCTTCTATTGTTATGTGGAGTCAGTTGAGTCATCTGTTGAGTCAGTTCCAGTTTATAGTGACAAAAAGTGAAACTTCCCTCAGGGGTTTCCAAGCTGTAATCTTTATAAAAGCAAACTGTCCTATGTTCCTCCCTCAGAGCAATTGTTGTTGTTATTTGCCATTGAGTTGGAACTGAATTATAGCTGACCCTCCAGTGAGCTTTTAGAAGCTCTAAATCACAAAGGAGATTGCCCATCTTTCTCCTGTGCGGTAGCTGTGGATTAAAACTATCTACTTTTGGGTTCCTACTTGAACTTCTAGCAGTTTTCAATCTGTTCTGGTCTAGCCTTCCCCCCCAAAAAAAATTTTTGTATTAACTTTATTTCCCCTACAATCAACAACTTCTCTGCATTAAATTTTAAAGCAACAAAGTAAAATAGAATCCCCCCAATGACAAGGTATCAGAAATCCAGATTTATTTGCATGTCATTTGTGAAAATGTTACAGCCATTTTACTGGTCTGTAAAAGAACCATCATCTGGGTCAAAAATGAATTTTATAAATCAAAGAATATTCTACACTTTGGAAAAGAAAATCAGCAGTAACATTCTCACGGAACATTGTAAATTACCTTTTCTTTTTCATAAAAGGTACATACTATTCTAGCCACTTTTGATAGATCTTCAGCATTTCTATCACCAAGCCCATATTTTCCAACTGCTTTTCTTTCTTCACTGTTTCCTACTTTTGCATTCCAGTTACCAGTTATTATTAATGTATCTTGATTGAATATTTGGTCAATTTCATTCTGCAAGATTTGGTAAAAGTTCTCAGTTTCTTTTTCTTTGGCTCTAGATGTAGGAGCGTATATTTGAATGATAGTTGTGTTAACAGGTTTTCCCGGCATATGTATGGATATTATTCTATCACTCACAACATTGTATTTCAGAACTTGAAATTGACTTTTTGGTTATGGATGCAACACCATTCTTCCTCTGTTTTTCATTCCCTGCATAGTATATCATATGATTATCTGATTCAAAGTGGCAAAAGCTGGTTCATTTCATCTCATTAATGCCTAGTATGTCAATATTCATGTGATCCTTTTCATTTTTAACAGTTTCCAATTTTCTAATCTTTAAGCTATGTACATTCCATGTTCATTTATTAAATGGTGTTTATTATTGTTTTTCCTCATTTCAACTGACTTCCAGTCTCGGCTCTACCACTACACTACTATAACTATCCTCTTTCTTTAGTGTTCATAGTGTCTTCAGAGCCCTGTTATTTAGGAAGTAGATGGCCCATCCTGCATTTTAGTCTGTCTTGATCAGAGAGCTCTACCAAACCAGTCTGCCATGGGTAACCCTTTGGCATTTGGTACACCAGTGGCACATATTTCAGTATCACAACAAACTCAAGTTATCTTGTTACAGCAAACTAACAAACAAGCACTGTACCACTTAGAACAATATTCTCCCCAAACAATTAATATTAAACACAATCCATGATGGATGGATAGATCATCAAAACTGTCAATAGCTTTATCTTGCTGCTTCTTATTGTTGTTATATGCCATCAAGTTGCTTGCAACTCATAGTGACCCTATGTACAACAGCCCTAAACCCTGCTCTGTCCCTTGTCAATCTCAGTGTCTCTGACATACCTATCTGCATTACCCCAGTGATGGAATCAATCCATCTCATCAAGGGTCTTCCTCTTTTGTGCAACCCTCCACCCTCCCAAGCATTACGGCCCTCTCCAAGGACTTGCCCCTGCTTGTAACATGTCCAAAGTATATCAGACAAAGCTTCAGAATCCCTGCCTCCAAGGAGCAGCCTGGCTTCACTCTCTCTAGGTCGAACTTGTTTTTTCTCTTAGCAGTCCATGGTATATTCAGTACTCTTCTCTAGCACCAAAGCTCAAAGGCA